TTCTAGCAGTATTCAATATTATTTGAGTATTCAACCATCCATTCAGAATTGATCTGAACTAGAATGCAACTTATATTTGTTTCAAAGATCAGTAGAAACTTAGTAATAATATAGTTTTAAAAAGTTAAAAGTTTTACAAATATAATAAAAAAAAATTAAATGTATGATTACTTATTTTGATTGGTGGGTTGCATTCTTACATTTGTCACAGTTCTTTGCAACAGATTTTGTAAAAAAAACATAGTGAAATCTCGCTATGATTCTTTGCTTAAAAGTATACTGCTATTCTTTGATTTAGCCAATTTGTTACTTAAAGAAAATTTTTGTTTTACAATATGTAAAGATATGTATCCGAGCAATGCAAAGAAGCTCTCACTGTATTTGGTGCATGGAAAACTAAAATTTTAATTTAGAAGATTGAATCACTGTCACCATCAACAGGCAGCTTCCTAGGGTGAAGCAGTAGACTTCTTAGGCAGCAGAGATAGGCCATATGAAAATATTTTTATTGAAGAAATATAAAATATTTTATTGTCTACTAGTCTGTAACCATTCAAATATAATTTATTTATAACATTTTTAATGTGAAGAAATATTCTGCTCTTTCTCCATTACAGGGGAAAATGCCAAATTTTAGAATGGTCAGTTTAGTACTATAATTTCCAGACTGATATTTTAAATTACAATCTGAAACTCCAGTGGAAATGGCTTAGTGTACTACAAACCACTTCATTACAGTTGCTCAAATACACTGTTTATAAATTGTGCCAAAGTTCACTTTCAGAAGTAAACATTAATACTACAAAAACAGATTCAACATAAGGAAAATAGTGCTGTGTGCAAAGAACAAGCACATAGAATGACAGTTATGCAACAGCAGTTATAACATTACATATACTGAACACTAATTACAGAAGGGTAAAAGTTATTTTAACAACATAAAGTCACTTGGGCAGGATCAAGGACTTTCCAAATATCTCCAAACACTTCTGAATATACTTTGTGGGGATAAGAGGGAACAAAAAGAAAAGGCACTTAACCAAAAGCCTGAATCAAGTAAGTTGGAGGATTAACTCCATTCAGCGATAGAACTAAAGTATATATATATAAAAAAACCTAAAGGTCATACAATTATAATTGCATAAACATTTTATGATATCTATTTATTATTTTAAACTTGGTGTTAACTTTTTGGAAAATAAAAAGTGTTCTGTGTCCTCCAACATAATAAGATACTTAGGTAAAAAAAACTTTCCAAAATTTAACATGATTTTTTTCCTGCACTACTATTCTGAAAAGTTCAAAAATAAGAGTAATAATTATATCATTTGTCAACATTCCAAAAAACTAACATCCTAATTTTTTTCTGGGCAAACAGTTCTAAAAATCACTGTGTAAACTAGATTTAAATGTATTTATAAATATAATCAAAATATTTTAATGAATGTAGCAGCAAACATAGTAAATAACTGTGAGTCCTAACAAACTATCATCTGATTATGATTCAATGTAACTGATGGTAGCTTGGGATTTGTGAATTATTTTTATATCAACTGCTTTGGATCAAATGGAGAGGTTAAATGGAGGTTGGATTAGTCAGCTAAGAGTTTGAAGAAGTATACCATGATTATCTGCCCCATTCAGAACCTATTGAATAAATTAAACCCTAATTTCATGGAAACAGATGTCAAACCCACAGCACCCACACCTGAGATTTTGACTCAACATTCCCATCTGTCTTGCTGGAGACAAGACAATGTAAAAGGCTGAAAAAGGAATGATTTTAAGCCATCAAATATTACCTTGGGGATGGAAGTATGCATTGTTAAGACATTTCTTTGTTCATGTTCTCCATACTTCATAAAGATCCAAGATAACCTAAGGAATTGCTAACTGTTCCCATTGGGACAAGAAACACATAATTTAAATGATTCTGAAATTCAAAACCTGTATGTCAAAATTATTGCTTATATTTGAGGCTCAGTGTAAGATCACTATTTTAGACCTAAGTCTCAAATAATTTAAATTCAGAAATGAAAGCTTTACCTTTTATTGCTTGTGAATACTGAACAGATTTAACATAAGAGCTATTTAACTCTCCAAATACATTTTAAGACAAACTAGGCTGTTGAAAATATCTAAATGAAAAATTGCTACTTGCATTGTAATGGTGCTGATATTCTATTTGCTCTTTTTAGTTCTGATTATCTTCTTCATGTCCTTATGTCCATTGTAGAGAAGCTCATGAAGTTATCATTTAGATTTATTCAAATCACAAAGATCTTGTTTTATTGAGAACATCAAGAGCAATTGTCTTCTATCACTTCTTTCATGGCATTATGTCTCCAGATACTCCAGTTTACTATTAAGCTGAAAAGAGCTGACCTCTCTTCATATATTTAGCAAAACAAAGAGGCCCCAATTGCCATGTAATAAGAATCATAAATTCAAATCAATTAATGTGCTTTCATTAAATTCTACATTAGAAATATTGAAGAGCAACAAGAAAGCCACTTGTGTTATTTGGTTTTATGAGAAAATTTTCACTCTCTTTTAACATAAACATAAACCGTTTTCTGCCACCAAATGTTTTGCTTTAAATTTATGGAAAAACATAATCAGAAACTTGACGCCTACTAATTCTATTCTGTACTGTGTATTATTTTCAAAAAGGGAAAAATGTGTGGAACCGAAAGGTAAATTCCTATTTAAAAATGGTTTTACCTTTCACACTTTCTATCATTGTATATCAAGGAAAACTAAATTTAAAAGTTAATAACTACTTAATATTCAGTTTTCATAGTGTAATATGGAATGTCAGGGTCTCAGTATGCTCTTTTAAGAGAATTTTATTTTTATGGTATTTTAAAACCATTGTTCCAAATATAATTTTTTTATCTTAACTGTTTTCTTCCAAATGTATTTTGTGTGTGTGTGTGTGTGTGTGCACATGCATAAATACACAGATTTGAAGTTGCCAAAAGGAAACAACTTATATAACAGTAAGTCTTTAGTAAGAACTGTATATTTGGCTATTTGTAGGATATGCTCATGGAGAATATTTTGCTTACTTTTGAAATGAAGGTAAATCAAGAGAATAAAATTAACCAATTAATATTGAAGGGAGAAGAAACAAATGCTTTGGAGATGTAAAAAACATTTTGAACTAAATACTTTGTAGTTTCTTCTACCAAACTATCAAACAGTTATGCTTTTTAAAAGCCCTTTGTTTACCTTCTATTCAAGATTGATTTGACTCTATTTTTAATCCATATTTTGTGCAAGTTTTTTAAAAAATAGGGTCAACCCAACATTCAGTTTCTATGTTTATATTATATATATTATTTAAATATACACGTTTTACAAATATGATAAGTAGTAATCTCAATCAGTAAGATTAGCTACCTGGCTTTGTAAGATGAAATAACATATCTTTGTAAACTTGATAACTAAATACATATCTGTCACAAAACAGCAGAAGAGTTATCTTGGCCACCATACAGTAAAACTATCTGCACATAAGAAGTAGAATTCTATAGGAAGCCATAGATACCATATTATTGAGTTTCATACTGTAGCAATTAATGCTACTCAATAGATACAGCTAGTTGTCTGTTTAAAATATGGTTTCCCTTTAGAGCAGCGCAAGAGATTGCAGTTGGAATCAAAGAAGCCTCCAGCTAAACATGCTGGCATATGTACATATTTTTGCTGGATGATGACCATATCGCCAGGAATGTTTAAAAACCAACTCTTACTAAAAATAAAATATCAGATTTAAATTAAAGAAAAGGCTTTAGTTTGGGGATTAAACTATGATTTCTAGACTTGACCACCATTGAAACTTTTACAACATAATGTGACAATGTTTTGACTTTTTCTCCCAGAATTACATCCTGAAATACATTTCTTTTGCATTAATTAATGAGTGCAATACAAAGCAGTTCCTACATTTCTTTCCTAGACTCTAACATATTCGTTTCAAAATCAAAGCCAGCCTACAAGTTGTATGTTCAAGCAACAACAAATCAAGTATCTCCCAGCTTAGCAGATTTAAAGAATACTGGGAATAAGAATGTTAAAGCCTAAACAGAAGGCACCTCAACTATACTCTTTGGAGAGAGCTTTGAACAGTTCTGATAAAAGGTCTTACTTAAAAGCTGTAAGAAATCAGTACAGCACATATCTTCTCAAAGCCAATAGAAGAGGAAGAAGAATCCGAGACTATCTTCACAAAGGAGAGAAATGGAATATTTCTACATTCTATTAATATATGAAAAATAAGGCAACTCTGAAATGGTTCAGCAAATCTAAAAGTGATAAAATAAACCTTCTGCTAAAGATACTGAAAATAAAGGTATGCTCTGATAAAGCCAATTCATGCTAATCTTATATCTGAATTTTTGATACTAAAAGGAAGATTTTAAGTTCCACTGAAATATGTGTGATTACAAAACACCCTCCATTTTTTAAATCTTTATCTGAAATAGAAAATTCTCTGTCCTAATCAGTTACAGTATCTAGGGAAAATATTATCCAAAATAAATTATGTATAATCTTCAGGCTCTTCAAAGAGCAAACAAGCAGCCTTGATTTTGGGTAGAGAAAATGCGAACTTCCTTTATGCTGATATAAACACCTTTTCTCCTCTATACTTCACCTTATTCAAACTCGCAGAGAATGTTTCTAACTGCTATAGCTTGTAGACTTCCCTGGGGTCTCCACATGGCTGAACCGAATGGATGGCCTTACTTGCATGGTGAATACAGATGTCTATTTTAGTTTCCTTTGACAGTTCTTTACCAGACATCAGCCTGCAAAAAGGCTTGAGTTGCTGTAGGTTTGACAACTGAACCTGTTTGGCCAACCCTTTCTGAGACAATTGGGATAAAAAGCTTTGAGAACTGTCCTGAAAACAAAATCAAACTATGAGTTTTTTATAAGAACACTTTCCTCCTTTTTCTTCTCTCTTTGATCAAGTATTTTTTTTTTGTCCTCACCACAGTGCTTAGGATCAGAATATGTAAACATTGACAGAAACAGCAGCTCTGTGTCCATGTAAGCATTTTCCCAACTGGTCATTCTCCATCAGCAAAGTAGAACCACATTTACTCCCTTACTTAGCAGGACATCACTGGGTTTTCCTCTGTAACTTAGCATCCACTTTGCTTTGGCCATCTAGAATTGAGGATGAAAAAGAGAAAGCAATTCATAAAAAAGAAATGATAATTTATTAAATTTCTCTACCACTGCAATCATGCGATTTTTGGTGGTACATAAAATATAGAAAATAAATATCCTTGGTTAAAAAAAGCCTGTATAAACAAGCAAACACAAAGATAGCCACAATCAATCAACAGTCAAGCTAAATTGAAGAAACATTTAAAAGATCCCATGATAGTATCATCTTAATACTTAAGTTAATTCACTTTTGAAAGCTTAATAATACCAAAGTAAATCTAGCTTTCATGGGAAGCCTATTTCATAATGTGGAGGTCATGAAAAAGAAACAATTTCTCCTAGCTTTATTCCCCCCAACTTCATAAAAATAAAGAATTGCAAGCAATTTTCCCCAGAGTGTACATGTTATGTAGGCCAACTCTATCTGAAGGAAATGTTTCTTAAGGTAACTTGATGTCAAGCCAAGTTAAGCCTTATAGATTAAAAAGGTACCTTAAATTGTACCTAGAAACTTACAGGAAATTAAAATAGGTCCACAGCACAGGTTTCTGGCTTCTACTGCCGGTTAACAGGCAGGTTGCTGCCTTTTTCAAAGTGATTTTTAGAGGCAGTCTCATATAAAGTACCTGTCTGTTCTATAGGGTAGATCAGGCTCAAAAATTAATGTCAAGCTAGTATTACTCTTACTGTAACAGCTATAGTAAAAAAAATCTTGCAAATCTGATCTGTTTCTTCCTCCCCTCTATCTCTATGAGAACTAAGGAGGGGGGATTTTTTTTTTCCTCACATTACTTTCTTCACCTGAGCTCAAGATATTTTTATTCGATCATTGCCTTCCTAACATTCCTGATCTTTGAGGCCTTTCCCACTTCCCACTAACAGTTCTTTGCAGTAGTTTAACCAAGTATTGATGATATCATGAGTTACCATTGTGAAACTCTTTCAAGCAATTGATACACTGTAGTCCCCATTTCTCACCGATGAGTCCAAGAGAACCGAGTCACAGATCTGCTGTCTCTCAAAGCCACTGTTACATCTCCAAGAAACAGCCATGTGGGTGAAAGCCTTGAAAAAATAGCAACTACCGGTATGTCTTGGTTGAGTTCAAATACTTAGAAAAGACTTCAACCAGACAGTATTGCTAACACAGCCCAGGAAAGTAATGTATGATTGGGAATAATCAAAGTATTGATGACACCACACCCCAAATTGATGAACTCCCAATGCCTTCAAGTAGGTATTAAAGAACACAGAGAAGTGGACCCTGGAGCATGTAAGAGGCTATCAGACCAGTCTCTTTTCCTCCACAACTGGTTTGCTCAGGAAGGAATGGAACAAAATAAAATCCTCCAATCTCCAAAGGTAGTCTATCAGGATACCATGGTTAATGGTACTGAAGCCCATCAATGCATAATAGGATCAGAAGAAATACACATTTTCCATCTAGGGCCCAACAAAGGTAATTAACCAGTGCAGTTAATTAACACTGTTTTCATTCCATGTCCAAATTGGAACCATGACTAAAGGGATCCAGATAGTCTGTTTCCTTTAAAGCATTCTAAAGCAGCCATTTCTTCACTGGAAGTCTGACAACTGTGCCTGAGAACAAGGAGCCGACAAGTAGATTGAGTCTTTTGATCCTCTTTGGAAAAAGAGAGGATGCAAGATTGCCCACGCTGTGTTCCATATGGCTGCTCCTCGCAAGGAGACGCCAAGGTAACAGTTTCTGAAGGATGGGAGAAATGAGAAATTAGTGTGTGCTACTTTTGGTCCAGCTGCAATAGAAAGCCTTCAATAGACACAAAGTTCACACTTCCAAGTCACATTTGGAAATTGTCTATTAACTGCTTTAATTATTTTTTTTCCTTTTACTCAATTGTGTCTAATTCTCAATGACTGCCTGGACAAGTCTGAGCAAATTTTTCAGAAGTGGTTTGCCAATGCCTCCTTCCTATGACTGAGAGATATGACTGATCCAAGATCACCCAACTGGCTTTGTACCTCAGGTGGGACTAAAACTCACAGTCTTCGGGTTACTAGCCTGATTTCTTAACCACTAGATCAAACTGACTCTTTTTAAAAAATTAAGGCACTTTCAAAATGGCAAGGCTAGAAACGTTTACTGAGTGCCTTAAATCTTTAATATAACAAATTAAATTTTATCTTTATAAAGTTTAAGAATTCAAAATAAAATCTCAAAAAACAAGACAAATTTTGACTGTAGAAAGTTTTAAACAGACTATGAACACAGAAAAAGTTGGAATATTTGCTTTTGAATACTAAGACTTTGAAATACATTTTTAAGAATAAATGCATTTTCATGGGAAAGAAAAATTATTTTCTATATTGGAGACATAACAAGATAAGCAACTTACAATGGCATTCAGAGATATTGTTGAGGACGGGCAATGGGACTAGGAATCAACAATGTCAGCTATGTTGTACGTTTTTATGAACACCCTGTTCCCAGAAGAAGCTGCTATATCAGAAGATGACAAATTATGGAGAACAATATGAATAAGAATTTGTCATTGGATATACAAAAAAAAAATCAAATGAGGTTCTAAAAATTAAGAAAGAAATAAAAATGCAAGTTCGAAACAGGAATTGGAGTAATTGTCAGGTCCCCAAAGAAATGTATTTTAACCCTATGCCTATTTTCTACCTTTCTGTAACCTTTCTTTGTGGCCTGCCATTCTGTTGGGAGGGGGGAACTTTTGGGATTGCTTTGCACTGTCTGCAGGATGGAATGTCTCTCCCTTATCTAAGAGACGGTTTGCGCTTGGAGCCAGAAGAAATTGAAAGTGAGAAAGACCTTTGAGGAGCCTGCCGAAAAGACCACCTACCAAAACACCATGCCACCTGTGGATTGGCTGAGATTCAAATGAACACTGAGACTCTTGGGGGGGGGAGGAGTATTGAATATTGTTTTTAATATACCGCTTCGCAGGTTTTTCTCTCAGATCTTGCCTTGATTCCCTGCTGTCACTAGCCCCTAATAAAAGTTCCTTTTGAGACAATGCCTGTTTCAAGAGTTCTGCTTTCTTGGGTGGCTTACAGTAATTTCTTCCCACTGGATTATAAAAAAGGCTTGTTAAAGTTTTGAAGAAATTTGAGACAGGGATAATGATTATTTGAATGGATTAAAGAACAAGATTGCTTTATGTAAAATATAAAGCTGGCTTATTTTATCGGGGTTAAAATGGGTAAGGTTATTTTGGGGTTTCTTCCTGGGCTTGCTGACATCTGGCTTGGAAAATATGTTATCTGGAATGCTTACAGTTAAGTTATTTATAAAAATAATAAAGATAGGATAAAAATAAATAAATAGGCATGGAATGATGAGTTTTATATTTGTTACTATTATTTTAGGGCTGCGTTTGGAAACTGTTGACAACAGGATTGGAAAAGACATTGCTTTTTGGAGGCCTATGATTAAGATTTGTGGGATGAAGAGATTTTATATGTTAATTAAGAGGAGGTGAAGTGATATTGAAACTGTTTATATTTGCTTGATTCTTTTTCTATTATCTGTCTTTTCTTTTTTGCCTACTTGGCATGGTCGTAACAACCTTCCTTAGTGAATTTAAAATTAGTGTAGACAAAAATCAAAGTATTCAACACTTATAAAAAGACTTGTTCATACTAGACCATTATATAGGCTTTTTTTAAAAAAAACTGACTAGCCATTGTCACTGAATACTATGGCTTGGGGCTTACTTTATGAGGGAGTTAGACCACTATGATTTGTTTTACAAATCATGGTAACAACAAACCAGGATTTAATGCAATATACGACCCCATCCATAAAATAAGCCACTTTAGTTATAAATCACCCTAACACCTGACTGCACAAGCAGTAACATTAAATTCAATAGTATTGAACTTCGATTCTTTTTAATCATGTTTCAACGGGATGTTTTTTTCTTGGAATTGATGAGGCAATTACCAAAGGCTACACCATATTTCATATTCTCTCCCAGTCATGACAAGAAGGATGAGACATACCTGAGTGGGAAAGAAATGTAAGGCTTAACCCAGGTGGGAAATTATGCCTGGAACAAAATTGCTGAATAGTACTTTTTCCCATGCTTTTGGCAGATCTCAGGGAAAACATGTTAGAATTGGAAGGGTTTATTTATTGAACCTTTTATTGTAATTGAATCCAATCTTCTGTTCAAGTCAAATTAGACTTGCAAATTAGAGCATCTCTAAGAGATTCACATTCAGTGAAAGGAATCCTGCCATGCCTGAGAAAGTTGTTGCACTCTCAAAACTGATCTTAGAAATTTTTATCACTGTAGAAAGTGTACTGAGACAGCTGGCTTCTCTTTAGAAAAGTGAGAAAATATATTTTCTTACCTGGATAAGCTTGCTGCAAATGAGCAGGCAGAGGTGTATGAGACAGTGCTGCTGAATGCTGAGCTCCTGACTGTAAACCCTTCAATAAATCTGACATGGCACACAACAGGAAAAAAACCCAGATATAATCACAAAATTAACAGCTAATGGTCATAGTTTTCTGACCATCTCTGTAGACAGTAAGTTTAGTTATTTAACGGTGTAGTAATAAAGTTTTAGGATTTACAAATTCAAGTGGATGAGTTTAAGCCAATTACTATGTTGCCAGTCCAAAACGACAAGATTGGTCATTGATGATGTCAATTGAATTGAACAGAAATACAAGTTCTTCACAGTCAAAATATAAAATGTGAAAAGTATGAAAACCTTTAAATTGTCAAAATGGAAATAAAGCTTACAATATTGGATGTAGCATCACTATGATCATGCAATTAAAATTTGAATGCTTGGCAACTGGCAGGTATTTATGATGGTTACAGTGTCCTGGGGTCATGTGGTATTTTTTGTGACCTTCTGACAAGCAAAATCAATGGGGAAACCAGATTCACTTAACAATTGTGTTACTAACTTAATAACTGCAGTGATTAAGTGTGGCAAGAACCAACTGTGGCAAGAAAGATTGTAAAATGTGGCAAAATTCACTTAACAACTGTCTGGCTTAGTTATAGAAATTTTGGGCTCAATTGTAAATTGAGGACTACCTATGAAGGAAAGGTTTAGCAACAATACTAAAAAAAGGACATTGTTAAGTGTGTGGTTAAGGATTAGATCTATCAGAATTATAGATATCTAATAAATATATCAAATATTATGCATGCATTTACATTAACTAAAATGCTATGAAAGAAGAAAACAGATAAATTTAAAAGCTCCAACAGAGGGTACTGTATCTAGAAAAGACATAGTGCTATTAACAGAAACTGAAATGCAAAAGTTGGAGAAATGGTGGAAGCTGGACTCACATATTTTTAAATGGGCAATATAATAACATTCATTGCTACCGTGTTTCCCCGAAAGTAAGACACTGTCTTACTTTCTTTTGGGCTCTGAAGTAAGCACAGTGTTTTACTTTTGGGGAGGGCTTACTTTTTGCCAGTACCGGCACCAGTAGGCCGTGAGTGTGCAGGGGTGGGGCATGGCCTGTGCATGGGGTGGAGAAGCAACGCAGTGGCGAGAGCGTGGTTGTGGACCAGTTGCTTTCTTCCCCTTGCCAGACCTGCCAAAACCACGCAGGGTAAGGTTGTCATGCCCGCCCCTGCCCAGATGCCCTCGCCTCCCCCAAGCATTGTTTTTTTTTTTACTAAACTACCTTTCAGCTGCATTCCATTTCTCCGTTCGCTTCTCAGACTTCGCCATGTGTTTGTGAGACAAAAAAAAAAAAAAGATCAATCAGACTTTCTAACTTCTTGCAAGATCTCAAGAAGTTAGAAAGTCTGACTGAACTTTTTTTTTTTACCAGTAGTCCCACAAATATGCGGTGAAGGCTGAGAAGCGAACAGAGAAATGGAATGCAGCTGAAACGCAAGTTAGTAAAAAAACTCTTGGGGGAGGTGAGGGCATCTGGACGGGGCCGGCAACCTTACCTTGCATGGTGGCGGAAGGGTGGGGTGCGTGCCCTTCCCGTGCAAGGCCAGCCCCTGCAGCCCCGGGGTGGCCGTGCTGGGCGGTGGTGGGCAGGGCGCTGAGGTGGGGGCCGGCAGGCCAACCAAAGCAGCAGGTGGAGCACCAGAGGATCGGGGAGGGAGTGTGCTGAAGTGGGCAATCAGGCCATTGGCAAGAGAAATGCGGCGCAATGGAAAGCGGCCTCGGAACAAGTGGGGCAGGTAAGGAAACAAATCCTCGCTCCCTCCAGGAATTGCCTTTCTTTCCTTACCTGACTCCCAGCCCCGTGCTGCTTCTCATTCACGATCCATTGCCGCCGCATGTAGGGAAACGAACTTTTTTTGGGGGAAAAAAAGGTCAATCAATTCCAACTTCTCGTAAAAAAAAATCTCGCGAAGTTGGAATTGATTGATCTCCCCCCCCCCAAAAAAACGTACTTTGTTTCCCTGCACACGGTGGCAGAGGATCGCAAAGGAGAAACGGCACGGGGCTGAGAGTCAGGTAAGGAAAGAAAGGCAATTCCTGGGGGGAACGAGGATTTCTTTCCTTACCTGCCCCACTTGTTCCGAGGCCGCTTTCCGCTGAGCCACGTTGTTCTTGCCAATGGCCTGACCGCCCACTTTAGCACCCTCCCTCCTCGAGCCTCTGGCACTCCACCTGCTGCTTTGGTGGCTCTGTAGGCAGAGCTGCGAAGTTCTCTTCTCTGACAGAGAAGAGAATGGGCAGGTGAGGGGGGAACGTGCCCCACTTGTTCCATGGCTGCTTTCAACTGAGCTGCATTGCAGTGGCATTGGGCATGATGCGCAAGGCGGCAAATGGCCGCAGCTGGCGGCAAACAGCTGTGTCGCACCAAAACTGGCCATTTGCCGCCTGTTGCCATGAGGCTGCGGAACAAGCCAGGCGGCGATAAGGAATCAGCATAACGGCACGTGAGTCTGAAGGGGGGAGGATCTGCCAGGCCTCATGGCAGCAACATTGGGTGAGACGCGCGAGGTAGCAAAGGCCATGACCGGCGGCAAACAGCCGTGTTGTGCCAAAAATGGCCATTTGCTGCCTCGTGCTCAATGCTGCTACCATGAGGCCACGGAACGAGCCAGGCAGCGGTAGGGAACCGGTATAATGGCACATGGCTCAGAAGGGGCGAGGATCCACCAGGCCTCATGGCAGTGGCATTGGGTGCGACATGCAAGGTGGCAAATGGCCACGGCTGGCGACAAACGGCTGTGTTGCGATGAAAACGGCCGTTTGCGGCCTCCTGCCCAATGCCGCTGCCATGAGGCCAGGGAACAAGCTGGATGGCAGTAAGGAACCGGTACACCGGTACCCTGGGTCAGATCCCCCTCCCCCATTGGCTTTGCCTCGTCACAGGCAGGCTTTCCTTGCAGGGCTTACTTTTGGGGGAAGCCTTATATTAGGCCCACCCCCCTGAAAATCAGATGGGGCTTACTTTCAGGGGCGGGTTTACTTTAGGGGAAACACGGTACTCCCTGCAATGTATGCCAACAATATACATTTGATAGCACCAAACAGAATATATACAGGAAGCAAAATAAGGAGCAATAGCATAGTATCAGCAAGATGCAGACTGTAAAAAAAGATTATGAATTATTTCAAATGATAGCAAAGAAGAATCTGTTTAAAAAGGAATGAAAAACTGGAATCAATTTAATGCAATTTTGGCATGTAGCTTTAGGAAAGGTAACCTATCTCAAAATAACCCTTCCACTTTCTATTGCCAATCCATGCATTAATTGCTATTTGCAAAAGTTTAAATTACTGGTCCTAACTCATCACACCTTGCACATGTTTATTTAGAAAATCTATTCACAGCCATGCACTTGTATAGTCATCTAGCCAAGACATCTAGTACCTTCTAACAGCCACATCACAATTGAGACAATTAAGCTAAGAAAATAATGAGAAATAATTATAGGCATAAACAACAAACTAATTTTCCAACAAATACAGAAAATTCAAAGAACTTGCCATTGATAAAGAAGCTTTTACTGAAAAATAGTAAAAAAAAGAGTTTTACTTACTCTGAGTTAGACTATGGTGGAAAGCTGCTGAGGTAGATCCCGAGGTGGTTGTCACTCCAGCCGTGTCTGTTCCAAAGCTAAGAAGCTCCAATGGAAACTGAAAGGGCATAGTCACTGGAACAAGACTTCCCAGCATCCCAAAAGGAGTCAATGGAGTAGATGTCACATTCTGACTGGTTACAGACAATGGTGATGCCATGAGAGTCAAAGGTGAAGCATTTGCCAGTAATGATGCACCTGTTGTTGACTACATAGATAGATATTTTTAAAATGTGTTAAAGCCTTTTGGAAGCAACCCAAAGCATATCAAACGTATTTAAGCATCATCTGCTCTCACATTCATCAGAAACAATATTTTATAGCAATGCTTATTCATTGCTTAATTAATGATATAATTTAAGTGAGGGGTCCCCAACCCCCAGGCTATGGCCTATTACTGGCCATGGAAGCAGCTGGCGATCGCGCATACAGCTCCATGTGCAAGCAGTGAGTGCACGGGCCCACCACTCACGCAAACGGAGCTGTGCCCTCACGTGGAACCATCCCCTCTCCCCCCCCCCACTGGTCCACAAAGCCACAAAGGTTGGGGACTGCTGATTTAAGTGATAGCAGATGTTGGTTGGCTCTTTTTCCTTGCAATAAATATAACTGACAGTGCAAATGTGAAAACTAAGTTTGGTGAGGTGGCAACTAATGGTTCCCCAGCTAGACAGAAACATTATATAATCATAGTTCAGCTGGCACTTAAAGCCATCAAATCAATAGCAAGCATTGCTTAATTTGGAAAGTTGGGAGAAAAAGCTCTGGGACACTGCCTTATAAAATGTTGGTTTCTTTGCTCCACATAGCACAAATCTGTAAAAAGTCTTTATTCTTCTCCATAATAAAGATTATACATGCATTTTCTGTGAGAGTTATATACCAGGTAAGGCTAATTGCTGAACAAGGGATTGTTTCTGGAAAGTTATAATTACCACCATTTCATAGTATAAAGTCTAACTCTTTCCTACTCCTATCACTGAAAGCTAGTCTGGTATAGTGATTAAGACACCAAGCTAGAAATTGCGAGACCATAAGTTTAGTCATCAGAATACCACACACCATGTCTAACACCATGTCATTCAGATATGTTGTGGCAGAAAGCAGTTGAAAGAAGGCCATTATCACCATGGAGACTATGAAATCCTGAACAGAACTGGAGCCAACTTTCAATGCATTGGAACTGAAATCACCCAGCAATGTAAATCTGGAAAATTCCAATACCAGCTACCTTGCAGTCATAGTTGCTGGGGTACCCAAACGTGGCCTGAGCAATATATCTGTATCCAAAAAAAGGTTCTGATCTACCAAAACTGGATGTGAACATATTGCAATTTGACCTGGCGTTTATTCATCATCATCATCATCATCATCATGGCGGCTCTGGATGCAGATATGGGATAACCCAAAGAAATACAACAAGGACGAAGCTTGGTTAAAAGAGGTGGATGCAAATAAAACAGAAATTGAAATGAAAGAACTAGTAATAACAGCAGAAACCTACTTGATAATGAAAGATCCAGCAAAAGGGGTAGCACCAGGCAACTACAGGCCAATTATCAAATTGCTAACTGGTGTGGTAGCTGATGCAGTCCAACAGCATCTAGTTGAAAACAATCTCTTTCCATCTGAGCAGAAAGGAAACCACCCCAATAGCAGAGGAACAAAAGATCAACTCCTAATAGACAAAATGATCTTGGAAAATTGCAAGAGAAGGAAACCTGAATGTGGCATGGATTGACTACAAAAAGGCATTCAACTCTCTGCCACATGACTGGATAATCAAGTGCCTAGAAATAAAAGGAGTCAGTAGAAACATCAGAAAATTTGTGCAAAGATCGATGGCACAATGGAAGACACAGTTGCAGGTCAATGGTGAGAGACTGGGAGAGGTTAATATTAAGAGAGGTATATTTCAAGGAGATTCACTATCACCACTACTATTTGTTATTGCACTGTTTCCACTGTCAACAATACTGAATAACTCAGGCCATGGCTATCAAACATCAAAGACATCTGCCAGACTATCCCACCTCCTTTACATGGATAATCTGAAGTTGTAAGGAAAAACATCATCTGAAATAGAATCGCTGCTCAACACTGTCTGTATATAGAGCTAAGATATTGCAATGGAGTTTGGCTTGGACAAATGTGCCACACCCACTATCAAACAAGGAAAAATAGTGAAAACTGAAGGAATCAAGATGCCCCACAAAAATAACATTAAGAGTCTGGATAAGGAAGATTACTACAAATACTTGGGTATTCTTCAAGCTGACAACATCAAGCATACTGAAGTCAAGAAAAAGATTAGAGATGAATACATCAAGAGAGTGAAGAAAATCTTAAAGTCCAAACCCAATGGAGAAAATACCATGAAGGCAATCAACACTTGGGTAATTCCAGTCATTAGATACACAGCTGGAATAGTGGACTGGACTCAAGCAGAACTAAAAGCAATGGATAGGAAGACCAGAAGAATAATGACAATGAATCATGCCCTTCATCCACGCAGTGACGTTGACAGACTCTATCTACCAAGGCAAATAGGTGGGCATGGAATGTTGCAAGAACATCAGATGGTTGAAGAAGAAAAAATGGCTTTGGAAGAATATCTGAAGGACAATGATGAAGATGCACTGAAGTTAATATATCAGAAAGGCTTACTGATTACTGGAGAGATCAAACTAGCCTACAAGAAAGACCAAATGAAGAACAGAATGGAGGCATGGGAAGACAAAGCACTACATGGCCAATACGTTAAAAAAAATAGCTGGGAAAGCAAATAATAACAAGACCTGGCAATGGCTAAGAGCAGGAAAGTTGAAGAAAGAGACTGAGGGACTAATTCTGGCTGCACAAGATGAAGCCTTAACGACAAATGCATACAAAGTCAAAATTGAGAAGACAGCAACAGACAGTAAGTGCCGTCTATGCAAAGAAGCTGAAGAAACAGTGGACCACCTGGTAAGCTGCTGCAAGAAGAACGCACAGACTGACTACAAGCTGCGGCATGACAAATTAGCAACAATGGTGCATTGGAAGATCTGTAAGAAATATCATTTGCTTGCAAGCAAGAACTGGTGGGATCATAAAATAGAGAAAGTCATAGAAAATGAAGAAGTTAAATTGGTCTGGGACTTTAGAATTCAAACAGACATGCATCTGCCACATAACACCCCAGACTTAACAACTGTAGGTAAGAAAGACAAAAAAGTTTGGATAGTGGATGTGGCAGTGCCTGGAGACAGCAGAAGAGAAGAGAAAGAACTGGAGAAGATAACAAAATACAAAGACCTACAAATAGAATTAGAACGACTGTGGCAAAGGCAAGCAAGAATATCAATAGTAATAGGTTCCTTGGGTGCAATCCCAAAACAATTGGAGCACCATTTGGACACCATTGGCATTGAAAAATTTGTCATTAGTCAATTGCAAAAAGCACCCTTACTAGGAACTGCTTCCATCCTGCGACGATATCTGTAATACTGTAATACCATCAAACATCCACATCTGCCTATCCCAGGTCCTTAGTAAGGACTCGATAGGTAGACAAAAATGCCAAATCCAGTCTGAACATCTGGCTGACTGTGTGATGATCAATAATTACAACAACAACATCACTAAAATGTTAAAATGATAGAAAGCACAAAACTAAAACAAAATTTAAAAAACACATGTTAATTACAGAGGAGCCATCTCAGTATTTTTCCAATCTCCTGAGGCCCCAGGCCTGCTGACCCAATCTGGTCTTGAAGGATCTCCAGAAAGTTAAAAGTGATAAGGCCACTTTGATGTAGCAGTTCTTCCACAACAGCAGCCACCACACCACCTAGTAGCTTAATCTTCCCCTTTGCTTAGCTGATGAGTAATCCTAACTTTTTCTATCAGGAAAAATAGCTCTCTACATGAAGTCCAGTTACTGATTTTTGAACTCAGCAACAATTTACATCATTTCCTAACCCTTGGTAGGTCTGAAGAAAGCATATTTTTACCAAAATAAAACTGAGAGGGGCGTACAATCTAATTTGCATGAAAAAGGTCATGCATATTAAATTGCCTTTCACTGTCAAAATGAATCCTCAGGATTCATTCAAGATCCTCAAGATGATGCCACTGATGGTAGCCTTGGTGAAATGCTGTCTAGTGTTTTTGACATTCTTTTTTATTTTCCTGTAACTCATTACGGATTACACACACCAAAAATGAGCTTCTGAACATCAGACAATTTTCTAAGAATATTTTTCCTCTGGTTTCTCCTGTCTTTGCAAAGACAGAACTTATGTGGATATTATGATCAGAGAAGCAACAGTTGTCTTCAGTAGCTGGAGAATACAAAGGAAGTGAAAGAGAGGAAGCATGCTGCTGTGAGACTGAGGAGGAGGGGCTTAGGACTCCACTCCCATTGCTTCACCTAACAAACCAATAATTCAATAGTGAATGTTGGTTTGTCAAAGGATGAACTGTTTAGGTTTGTCAAATGTAAGTTTGTCAATGGATGAACTTCTCTCTCTAAATAGGAACAACCCTAATTTTTCTAACTCAGCAGTTCTCTGCTTTACAGAAACTTGGCTCAGACTATCGAGAACATAACATGTTTATACACCAAGTACACAAGGAATTTATCTCTGGTGCAAAAGCTCTCAGTGTACATGCAAAGCAACGGAATAATAATAATAATCATAATATTTATACCAGTAAGAGGCAGTAGTAAAGAAAATGGGAAGGATAATAATAATACTACAGCCATACAACATGGGTAAATATTCTTAGATATAAGACAGTGCTGTGGGAATTAGGTGTTCAGCAGAATGATGGCATGAGGGGAAAAATGTTCCTGTGTCTAGTTGTTTTGGCACGCGATGTGTCCTGAGGGGAGGAATTGAAATAGTTTATGTCCAGGATGTGAGGGAAGGAATTGAAATATAGGGTTTTAGATTCAAAGGGTAAACTGGGTTATAGAGACATCTGGTACAAAAGAGGAGGGAGAATCTGCTTCTATGCTAATAACTGCTGCTGTAACGATGTCACAGTAGTAAAGAAATTTTGTGGTGTGGACTTAGAGACACTATTCATCAATTTTAACCCTTTTTATGCTCCATGAGAGTTTTCCTCATTCATCTTGATTGGTGTTTAAATGACTACAGCTCAGTTGCTCTGACATCTGTAGTTATGAAGGCCATTGAGAGGTTAGCGCTGATCCACCCG